GCGCCCGTTCTCTTTGTCAAGAAGAAGACGGATCCATGCGCATGTGTATCGACTACCGGGATCTGAACCGGTTGACGATCAAGAACAAGTACCCGCTTCCCAGGATCGACGACTTATTTAATCAGCTGAGGGGAGCCTGTGTGTTCTCAAAGATTGATTTACGATCAGGCTACCACCAGCTGAAGATTAAGGAGTCAGATATCGCTAAGACCGCTTTCAGGACTCGTTACGACCATTACGAGTTCGTCGTCATGCCATTCGGCCTCATCAATGCTCCAGCGGTTTTCATGGACCTGATGAACCGTATTTTCCATCCCTACCTCGATCAGTTTGTTATTGTCTTTATTGACGATATCCTTATCTACTCGAAGAGCCAGAAGGAGCACGAGGAGCATCTGAGGGTGGTTCTCGAAACCCTCAGACGAGAAAAGCTGTTTGCAAAATTCTCCAAATGCGAGTTCTGGCTCCAGCGAGTAGCCTTTCTGGGTCATGTTATTACTCAGGCAGGTATCGAGGTGGATCCTTCCAAGGTCACAGCTGTTCAGAACTGTTCGACACCGAGGAGTCCGTCCGAGGTTCGCAGTTTTCTCGGTCTAGCTGGTTATTATCGTAGGTTTATCGAGGGATTTTCCAAGATTGCCCTCCCTCTATCCCAGCTGACGAGGAAGTCTGTGAGGTTCGAGTGGACTGATCGATGTGAGTCGAGCTTTCAGGAGCTCAAGAGGAGATTAACTTCAGCACCGGTGTTGACTATTCCCGATCCTTCTCGGAGTTTCACCATCTTCAACGATGCTTCGAGACAGGGCTTGGGATGCGTCCTTATGCTTCCGTCAGCTTAAGCCGCATGAGCAGAACTATCCGACGCACGACTTGGAGCTAGCAGCAGTCGTTCATGCCCTTCAGATTTGGCGACATTATCTTTACGGCGGTCATTGTGAGATTTTCACAGATCATAAGAGCTTGCAATATATCTTTACTCAGAAGGAGCTCAACATGAGATAGCGCCGTTGTCTCGAGCTCGTCAAGGATTATGATTGCTCGATTCAGTATCATTCGGGAAAGGTGAACGTCGTAGCGGATGCCCTAAGCCGAAAGGTAAGGGGTGACTTGACGTACGTCATTACTCAGCAGAGTCCACTAATTCAGGAGTTTGCCCGGATGCAGCTTCAGGCGATCGATGCACTTCCCACATCCATTTCGGGGAGTGTCAGTGCCAGTGTCAGTGCCATGCAGGTTCAGCCGAGGCTGAGAGAGAGAATCCGGCGGGAGCAGGCTTCGGACGAGTTCGTTTGGGTAATGGATGCCAAGGTTCGCGCCGGAGGCGTCGAGGGTTTTCAGCTATGTGCCGATGGTGCCCTAGAGTTCAGAGGCATGATCGTGGTCCCGAAAGTCGAGGCGTTGCGGAAGGAGATTTTATCAGAGGCTCATACCGCACCCTATCTAGCCCACCCCGGGAGCACGAAAATGTATCACGATCTGAAAGGGTCGTTCTGGTGGCGAGGCATGAAGAAGGACGTCGCCGAATTTGTCAAGAGATGCTTTACCTGTCAACAAGTCAAAGCCGAACATCAGAGTCCGATCGGCCTCCTGCAGCCACTGCCGATTCCGAGGTGGAAGTGGGAGGAAGTCACGATGGATTTCGTTACGGGATTGCCGAGATCGTCTGAACATCACGACGCTATCTGGGTCGTGGTCGACAGATTGACTAAGGTCGCTCATTTCTTACCCGTTTCGATGAAGATGTCTTTGGACAAGTTCGCTGAGATATATACCCGTGGGATCATTCGACTCCATGGAGTGCTCGTTACGATCGTATCAGACAGAGATCGCAGATTCGTCAGTCGATTCTGGCACAGTTTACATGAGGCGATGGGCACGAAGCTAGAGTTCAGTTCAGCCTACCATCCGGAGACAGATGGTCAGTCAGAGCGGACTATTCAGACGCTTGAGGATATGCTTCGCGCTTTGGTTGACAGGGGTGCTAAGTGAGAGTCGTTGTTGCCGTATGCTGAGTTCGCGTACAACAATAGTTATCATTCTTCTATTCAGATGGCTCCTTACGAGGCACTTTACGGTCGGAAGTGTCGTTCCCCTCTTTATTGGGACGACGTCGGACAGCGACGAGTACTCGGTCCTAAGTTGATCGAGGAGACAGTAGATCAGGTCGAATTGATCCGGCAGATACTCAAGACAGCTCAGAGTCAACAGAAATCTTCAGCCGATCATCATCGACGAGACATCCAGTTCGAGGTTGGAGAGCTAGCTTTTCTCAGAGTTCGTCCGATTCGCGGAGTCATTCGACTCGGAAAGAGAAGGAAGCTGCACCCTCGATTAATCGGTCCATTCGAGGTTCTCGAGCGAGTAGGCGAGGTCGCGTATCGATTAGCTTTACCTCTCGAGTTATCAGGCATTCATAATGTTTTCCACGCATCTATGTTGCGTAAATACGTGTGCGACCCCGATCATGTCATTCCTCATTCAGATATTCAGGTTCAGCCAGATCTTTCGTACGAGGAGCGACCGGTAGCTGTACTAGACCGTCAGGTTCGTCGGCTCCGGAAGTGAGATGTTCCCCTCGTGCGTAATCAGTGGGATCGCCACGGAGCTACTTGGGAGGCGGAGTCCGATATTCGCGCTCGTTTTCTAGATTTTCAGTTTTGATGTACATATTTTCTTGTTCTATGTACATAATTCATGTATCTTCAATTATGTTTTGAATTTTCGAGGACGGAAATTTTGTAAGGAGGGAGGATTGTAATATCCCGTCAGTTTATCAGTATAAATCATGTTTTTAGTTCCGATATATTAATATTGTCGTGTATTAATTTTCAGAATTAATTAATTCAGTCATTTCAGTCGAGATTACCAGAAATTATTTTCGACGTACCGTTTACGTTCGGAATAATTTTGGTAATTAAGCATTATGTTTAATTAAATAATTAAATATGATTAAGTGATTAATTAGCAATTAATCACGTATTTAAGTTCAAAGCCGTGTGGAATTTTTTTCCCAACTCAATTAAAAGGCCGTAGCTTTTCTACATAGGAATTAATTCTACTCTTGAGCTTATACGTGGCATTATGAGGGATAATTAGGTGATTAGTCACCTAAGAAGGTTTAATTTTACTACAAGTGTCATTAATAAGAGATGGCCACCAAGGTCTTGTATTATCCCCCTCTCGGCGCCGTGTGTATATAAAGAAGAGTATTTGGGAAAATTTTCCCATATTTCCTCCACATATAACTATGTCCTACATATATATGCTCATACGCTAGTGAGGGAAGTTGAGGGTTGTGAGAAATTCTAAGGAGTACTCCACGGCAATCAGCACACACGCACGGCAATCAGTCGCACCGTAAGCTAGCACCACACGGCAACGCGCACGCGGAGGGTCACGCCCGAACACGGGAATCCGAGGAGTGCTGTCACTCGAGCATAGTCGAAGGTAATTTCCGTGTTAATATGGGCTGAGAATAGCGTGTTTCCATAATCCAATCTTCAGCTTAAGTTCATGTGCGTGCCTATATCGACTTAGCCGTGCGTGTCGTTGATGTTTAGCCATGTCAAGTTTCAGTTTGAAATCTTTCGACCAACCCAGTTTATTTAATCAGTTATACATGTATCACGTTCAGTCAGTTACTTGTGTTCGAAGAATTTCCAAGTTAAGTCATCGTTTCGGCCGTAGGTCGTGGTCGTGCACGTAGCACGCGCCACGGGCCGTTCATGCATATTGCGTTTGTTAAGTGAACATTCTTTCGAACACCCATGGCAATTTATTGAGTAAATCATGTT